ATTAACCCACAGCGCCACACCAGGACTTATAGTAGGAAGTACTTGACACTATTAAAGATAATAGTCTTTTAACTTGTGACTTATGACCTAGCTCCAGGTAACTGGTAACAGAGAAAGTGACATGTTGGTCACTGGAGTTAGAACTGAATGAGAAGTAGGAAGTGAAAATTGGACTAATTTTCACATTTTGGATAATAAATATATGAAGATTCTTATCCAAGAGGTATCGTACTAATTATGAAAGCAGAAGATGGTTATCTTTTAGAGAACTCTAAATTATATGGGTGGAGTCCTGATGTGGCGCTGTGGGTTAATACGCTGGACTATAATGTCAGTTTGAACCACAAGGTCGGCAGCTCAAGCTCACCAGCCGCTTCTCGGAAACCCTACACAGGGTCGCTATGGGTTGGACCAACTCGACTGCACTAACAAACATCAACAAATTATATGGGTGGTTGCTGTTATGTGCTGTCAAGTTGGTTCTGACTCTTAGCAACCCTACACATACAGCATGAAACTCTGCTGCGTCCTACGCTATCCTCATTCCTGCTATGTTTGAGCTCATTGTTGACACCGCTGTGTCGGTCCATCTCATTGACTGTCTTCCTCTATTTTGCTGACCTTATCATGTCCTTATGATGTCCTTCTCCAGGAAATGGTCCTTCCTGACAACACGTTCAAAGTATGAGAGACAAAGTCTTGCCATCCTTGTGTCTAAGGAGCATGCATTGTGGTGGTAGTGGTTCCAACTCAAAGTGACCCTGTATAGGGTTTCTGAGACTGTAAAGCTTTATGGGCGCAGAAAGTCTTATCTTTCTCGTGCAGACTAGTAGATTCAAACTGCTGACCTTGCAGTTAGCATCCCATCTCCCAACCAGGGCTCCTTGATTATAGGGTGGTGGTGGTTGTGTGCCGGGGAGTTGGTTCTGACTCATAGTGACCCTGTATAGGGTTTCTGAGGCTGTAAATCTTTACAGGAGTAGAAAGCCTCATTTTGCTGCCATGGAGTGACTGGTAGACTCGAACTGCTGACCTTTAGGTTAGTAGCCCAGTTGGTAATCCACTGCGTTACCAGGGCTCCTTAGATCCTATGTTGTTCTTGTTGTTAAGTGCCATCGAATCAATTCTAACCCATAGCAACCCTGTATAGGGTTTTCAAGGAGCAGCTGGTGAGCTTGAACCACTGATGTTGCAGTTAAAACAATTTTGCAATCTGACGCATTAGCCACAGTGCCACACCAAGACTCCTTTGATTATATGGGTAGCCCTTAAAAAGAAACGCAACATAAATCTGAATCCATTCAATAGGCCAGCTGTCTACATTAGTCTTGACAATATGGCCTAGGTTAAAATATCTGTTGTTGTTAGGAGCCGCTGAGTTGGTACAGACTCAGTGTGACCTTATGTCCAATAGAACAAAATGTTTATTTCCAGTCTTTCTGCTAGCCCTCCCTCATAATGAGGAGTGCGCATTGTTCCAAGGAATCTATCACTACTTTTCCCTTTACCAGAAAAACGGCTTTGGTGTCTTGCCTCCACAGAAGGTTTCCTGAGATCTCTCTGACAGCCTGATAGTAGCTCCTCATTGAGCTGCTGTTGTTCTTGGCAGGAGAGGCATGGTGCAGGGAAGGCTCCATTGTTACAGGACACCCATGGACTTCCTATTCCACATGGGAGGCACGAAAGAGGGTGCTCTGACTACATATGACATAGATCTCTCTCTAGTGGAGGTGGTGGTTGTGTACCATCGAGTCGGTTCCAACTCATAGCCACCCTGTGTAGGGCTTCCAAGATGGGGAAATCTTGATATGAATAGAAAGTCTCATTTTTCTCCTTCAAAGCTGTTGGTAGACTCGAACTGCTGACATGCATAATACCGTTTTACCTGCTACAAATTTCACAAACAGCAATATAACTAATGAAAATTTGTAACATCTGAATTTGTTAGTCACTGTGCTGATCTTTAATAGTCCAAGAACTAAGTGCACCAGAATCAACTGAGAAGCTTGTTTAAAATGTGTCTTGGTTTTGGCCCTACCACAATCCTAGTAAGCCAAAATCTCTGGAAGTGGGACCTAATAATCTGCATCTTAACACCCCCCCCCCAAAGTTTGAGGATCTATGAAACATTCTGTGAGAAAACTTCCTTGAATTGAACTTATCCTAGAGTTAAATAGTTAATAGAGAGTTGATATTTCAATCCAAGACAATTTGACTTCAAAGCCTATGTTGGTGCCATTATGCGACATCTCTGATCGCCAGTGGCAGTTCCACAACTATCACTAAACCACTGCAATCTATCTCACACAACATTTAGTTTAATGATGAACCCATCTTTTCAATGCCTTAGGATGCTACATCATTTCTAGTTTCTCTTCTTTCCTGGCACATAGATATCAGCATGGGGTGTAGGTCATTCTTCCCTTTAGTCATGCGTATTATTAGTTCTTTAAGGCGCTCTTGTAGGGTAGTGGCTACGAGTCAGGCTTCTAATCTCACACTCAGCAGTTTAAAATTACCAGCAGTTCCATGGGAGAAAGATGAGGCTTTCTGCTCTCATAAACATTTACAGCTTCAGGAACCCTGGACAGGGTCGCTATGAGTTGGAACTGACATGATGACACACAACCACCACCATTATTAGTTCTTTATTGAGTCCCGGTGGCGCAGTGATTAAAAACTTGGCTGGTAACCAAAAGGTGGTTGTTCACATTCACCAGCCACTTCACAGGAGAAAGATGTGAAAATTTGCTTCTTTAAATAGTGTTGTTTCTAAGTGCTGTCGAGTCAGTTCTGACCCATAGAGATCCTGTATAGGGTTCCTAAAGAGTGGCTGGTGAGTTGCACCACCAACCTTGTTTAAACCAACCTTGTGACCCAGTGCTTTATTCCGCAGCGCCACACCAGCCTGAGAAAACCTATGGGACGGTTCTACTTTGTCCTATAAGGCATCAAGTCGACCATACTGGGCATACCTGGTTTTAGTGCTAATACCAAATCAGGAAGTCTACAGTCAGCCAGATGCCCCCATTATTGGTACTTCTAGGGTAAATCCTAAGTAATTGCATGGCCACTCAGCCACAGACTTCTCCTAATCAGTGTTTGTTCAGTACATACAACTGGGGGGCTGCCTCCTTTCCTTCAATAGTACTTTATAGCTACTTTCCTAACTCTGGTTCAGTTTTCTGAGTAGAAGCCCACTGGAGTGAAACCATGGTATCTGCTGGCTTTTGCTAACCACCACAGCTCCTTGGAAGACATTTTCCTGGATGTCAGGGTTACTTAATTTCATTGCTGCCATTTTCTTACAATTCCTGCTACAGTAGTCCACCTATGAATCCATCCCTTTGGGTAGAGGCGTTAACCCAAACCAAGTCCACATTTTCTAACACCATGTATGAGTCTACCTCAAAAGATACCAGTTTTACTAACTCAGTTGCTGCTTCTTCACAAATTAACATCCTACCATGTCCTGTGGTTTTGTTAATGATGCTAGTTTCATTTATTTCTTTTTACCCTAAAGTTATTCCCCTAGGAAAGACAGGGATCCTGGTAATTCATTACACTAAAACCACAATGATTACATTCTATACAGTTCCAAGATAACATATAGAAAAAAAAAAAAAAAAAAAAAAAAAAATTACTATGATATTTAGGTCTTGTCTTCTAAATCTCTATTTCCAGCTCAGATGGCTCTTCTACATTTCTGACTCCTGTATCTAACTTAGATCTTTCCACTTGGATGTGTTTCAGGTACCTCAAAATGTTACCTGGAGTTATCAGACACTGAAACTCAGTCTTCATTCATGGTTGGTTTCATTTGCTTCCTAAATAATAATTACAAACAAACAAATTCCTCTATTTGTTTCATCTGCCTAGTTGCTGGTGTGGCACTGTGGGTTAATGTGCTGGACTACTGCAAAGTTGGTTTGAACCGCAAGGTCGCTGGTTCAAACTCTCCCTATACCGACCTTACTCGATGGCACTTAACAACAAACATTGGGAGTCCTAGTGTAGTGCTATAGTATAAGCACTGAGCTGCTAAGTGCAAGGATGACAGTTTAAACCCACCAGCCGATCCTTGGAAACCCTACACAGAGTCACTGTGAGTTGAAACTGACTTGACATCACTTAACAGCAAGACAAGCAGGCATCCTGGTGTGGTGCTGTAGGATCACCACTGGGCTGCTAACAAGGTCGGTGGTTCAAAACCACCAGCTGCACCTCAGAAACCCTATATTGTTGTTATTAAGCACCATCAAGTCAGTTCCGACCTATAGAGACCCTGAATAGGGTTTCCTAGGAGCGGCTGTTGAGCTTCAACTGCTGACCCTGCAATGCAGAGCATTAGCCTGCAGCGCCACCCCAGAACTCCAAAAACCCTATACGGGCGCTGTGGGCTAGCACTGACTTCACGGCACTTTATGACAATGACAATCACCCAGCCGCAGGCGGCAGGTTTTTGTTAGACGAAAGGGAGCCCAGACAAGTTTCCTTACAATATATCTGTCCTGACTCCCAAACTTCATGAGATCTGCTGTTAGAAAACAAGGCGCGTCCAGCCACAACCCAAAGCCTCTATTTTGCAACCCATAGTCTCGGTGTTGCAGTCCTGGTGTGGAGCTGCGGGTGAAAGAGCTGGTCGCAAGGTCTGAAGTTCAAGCCCACTAGCTGCTCCTCGGAAACCCTATACAGCCATCGCTTTAAGTCAGAACTGACTCAACGGTACTTAACAACAACAGTCTCGGTATTATTGTCAAACAAACGTGGGTTTATACAAACCTGGGGCAGAACAAGGGCTTTCACCATGCACCCATGCAAACATGCCAAGAACAAATACTTCGCGCGAGGAGCCTGCGGGCACTTAAAGCCAGCAAAGTGCGCCGCAACGCCCTCTCAAATATCGCGAGATAACAGCACCGGTGCCTCTTTCTCCCTGCCTCTCGCGAGGCCCAGACCTCCAGCCGCACGCTTGCGTCGTCTCCTAGGCAACCGCAACGGCAATGGCGGCGTCGTTGCCGGAGCGGCTATTCTCGCTGGAGGTGCTTGTGGACTGGGTGCGCCTGGAAGCCGGAGAGCTGCCGTCGTCCTCGGGGGCCGTGCAGGAGGCCTCACTGCCGCCGCCTTCAGACTCCCTCTGTCCCGCGGTGGCCTTCCGCCTCCTGGACTTCCCCACGTTACTGGTTTACCCTCCTGGAGGACCTGCCTCGGAACACCGGCCTGGGGTGGTCCGCTTCGGACGTGGCAAGGCCTGTCTCTTCCGCCTGCACCCTGCTACCCTGCACCGCTTGCTCCTAGAGACCCCTCTGTACGCGCTGCTCCTGCAGCTGCGCTCCGGCTTCCCGACCCCCGCTCCGCAGCTCCTGGGTAGCTGCAGCATCTCGCTGGCCGACGCCGCCCAGAAGGTGCTGGGGCCCGCAGCATCCACCTGCTCCCAGAGCCATCGAGGAAGCTACCCCGTGCGCGACCTTATGGGGAAGCAGATTGGGGACTTGTCGCTGGGCTACCGCCTGGCTCATCTGGAAAATCACGTGCTGGGTCATCTAGAGCGGCCAATCATCGCAGAAGATGGACTGGCGGAGCAGAAGGCAGGAGAGGTTAGTTCCCAAGTCCTGCTGGAGAACCCACGGCCAAGGCAGCTAACCCCAGATCCAAGCTCAGGAGCTGATGGTGGCAATCTGGTGGATTTAAAAACTACAAATGCACAGAAAGATTTAAAGGAAGGAGTTAATCACAGTGACGCCAGGGCTGATAACAGGGATTTTGTAGAGAAGGGCAAAATGAAGTCTTCTGTTTGTTCAAATGCTAGCAGTAGGAGATGTGATAGCCCTTTAAATCAGGAAGAATTGGACATTGAAACCAACACATTTTGCCCTCCTCCTCTGTACTACACTCATTTTGTCCAAGAAAAGACCCCTCCTGCACTGGGTAAAATCACTTTTGTGCCACAAGTGAATGGGCCTGAGGAACGCAATGGCATTTTTCAGGAAGAAAAATGTGCACATCTCCCAACATGTACTTATGCTCAAAAGAATGTGAATATTACAACAAATGAGAACCCCCCCTCCATTCTTAGGGATCCTCCAACAAATATTCAGGATCTAGGAGCAAGTAGTCAAATGACATGCCATCCTCAAACTGAACAAACTAGAGTTAATATTATAAAGCAGCTGCCTTTGTTAAATGCTTTGTTGGTGGAGTTGTCCTTGTTATACGCTCAGCCCAGTGCAAGCCCTACTCATATACATCCTCACCTAGCCTGGTTATATAGGAGTGAGGATAAGACGGCACCAGCCTCCTCTGCCAAATCCACATGTAAGTGTGACTCCAACAAGGAAAAACTTTCTATAGAGGAAAAGAAACAGTCAGTAAGTCTTCAGTATAGAAAGAATCAAGTTGAAAATACAAAAAAAGGAATGTGTTTTGAAAAGACTGGTGGTAACCCCAGAAAACGAGTTCCAAAGGGGAAGCTACTTTATGGCATAACAAATACACTAAAACTACGCTTAAAGCAAACAAATCCTGATATGTTGGTAGTACATGAAAAAAGAGAACAGTATAGAAAAATGCAAGCACAAATGTTGGGTGCGAAACTCAGCATCCCATCACCCAAAGTTAAAGTATTAAGTTTTACAGAACGTGTTCAAAAGCCACATCAGCTACCTGAAGGTCAGTGTTTAGATTTAGATTCATCATTTGCTGAAAGTGGTAACACTTCAAAACAAATTAGTGGGGTGTTTGATGATACTAGCACAGCTAATGCAACTGGAAAACAAACAGTTGAATATAGCAAATATAGAACCAGTAGTGGTACATTGGGGGAAATCACTGCTGCAAAACCCATCATTTCAGAAAAGTTTCCTCATGCAATTATGTTAGAAGGAAATGTGGAAATGAAAGTCCGAAGTCCATGCATTTTCCAACAGGATGCAATTATTGACAGAAAATTAGTAGATAAAAAAAAAGCTAACAGACAGGTAAAAACCACAGAAAATGGCATTGCTGATAGAAGTGAAAATAAACTAATAAATAAAAATAGTTGCTCTGAAAATGTCTCAGAACTAACATATTCAGATGACTTTACCAGCCCTTGTTATTCTGAAGATTTCTATACCACGGAGGACACCAGCAGAAGCTTACCTGGTTGTGATGGAAGCCAAGAAAATGCCAAACATCATACAAGTAAGTCTAGTGAAGCAACATCATCTATGAGGAAAAATAGCAGTGAAAAAAGTTCTATTCTTAGTCCACCTTTTTCAGCTGGATTACCAGTGCACTCAAGTAAAAGATCTCATGCTTCAAAGACTCAGAAAAGTTTAGAGGAAGCATCTAGTATCTCTACCAGTGACTCGTCTTCATTACATTGGCCTGAGGAAAAAGAAAAGAAGATAGACCTATATGGTATGCATAATTCTAAAGTTGTAAAGAGGAATCAAGACATTTCTATTAAACTTAAAACAAAAACTGGTTGCAAGTCTTTAGAAAAAAGTCAGTCCCCAAGGACATCTCAAGTTAGTTCTTACCTGCCATCTAATTTGTCAGAATTGGAACTTAGTGCTGTGGATAGCAGTACGTCAGATCAGTTTGAAGAAAACAGTGATGAAGTTGGTTCACTTCATATTTCCAAGCAATGCAAAGATATTTGTGAATTAGTGATAAATAAACTTCCAGGATATACGGTTTAAAATAATGTGCTTTTAAAAACCATGAATATTGTTTTTTACAACTAATGTGTACTGCTAATGAAAAAGTGAATAACTTTTTACATTTTAATACATAAATTACATGAACAGTTATTTTCAAGAAGTAGAAATATGTGTTAATCCATTGACGCTTAATGTTCTACCAGTAAATCTGACAGTATTGATCATGAAATCACTTTATAACCTAGATAAGAGTTGTTTTAAATTGTTTTGTAAGAATAAAAGTATTTCACTAAAATATCTTTCATAAAGTATCTGTCTTTTTAAAACCGACTTCATATAATCACAGTCTGTCCTGTCACCTTCAACCCATGTTGTCCGTAAGTGCTATAGAGTCGCTTCTGAATCGTCATTAAGTGCCATTGAGTCGATTCTGACTCACAGTAAACCTTTATAGAGTTTCCAAGGAGTGTTTGGTGGGTGTGACCCACCATCATTAGGGTTAGCAGTCTAGTGCTTATCCTAGAGTGCTACATCAGGTCTCCTTCTAAATCATGGCAAACCTGTATAGGGTTTCCAAGGAGGTGGTTTGTGGGTTTGAACCACCAACCTTGTGGCTAGCAATCCAGTGCTTATCCTACAGCATCACACTGTATACACCATTGAGAAAAGACCAGTTAATAAGTTGTTAGGTGCCATCGAGTCAGTACTGACTCATAGCGACCTTATGCACAGCAGAATGAAACACTACCCGATCCTGGGCCAACCGCCCTACTGTTGCCACGCTTGAGTCCATCAATGCTGCCACTTGGCCAATCCATCTCATTGGGGGTCTTTCCTCTTTTTCTCTGACCAAACATGATGTCCTTCAGTGACTGGTCCTTCCTGACAGTATGTCCGAAGTATGAGAGACGAAGTTTGGCCATCTTGGCTTCCGAGGAGCACTCTGGCTGCACTTCTTCCAAAACAGATCTATTGGTTCCAGTTAATAAGAGTGGTCTCAAATTACAGTGTGATGAAGTCATTTAACAAATGCAGTAGACTCACTGTGTCAGATGCTAAAGGTACTGAAGTATTGAAAACGTAGCTCCTGCTATTATATGAATTTAACTGTTTTCATATAATTGCTGATTCTTTAAGGATTTGAATTGATCTCAGTGAAATGCATTTTTACATTGTAATTCATATTCCCAGTAGGTGAAGTCTTATATTCAGTCATAGAATGCTCTGCTTTTCTTACCACAATGTGTATAACTTGATTAGTGTTTCTCTTCCACTAGGATTAGGTTCTGTGAAGAAGATAGGAACCATATCTGTGGTGTACAAACAGTCCATTCTTAACACCTACCACATTCAGTTTCTGGCAAGTGGTAGTGGTTGTTAAGTGCCGATAAGTTAGTTCCGACTCATAGTGACCTTGTATAGGGTTTCTGAGGAGCAGCTGGTGGGGTTGAATTGCTGACCTTGTGTTTCACAGTTGAGTGCTGATCCTACAGCGCCACAACAGGAGTCAAATAGTGGGGTGCAATAAAATGTTTGCTGAACTAATGAATGAAGGTCAGACATTTAAAATTGAATGGAAGGGACTAGAATTAAATAATAGAAACAAGCATAACTTCTAAAAATAAATCCACAGAAAATTCTTTTGGGGGGTGTTCATTTGACTGAAATATCTTTTGTTTTCCTGGATATAAATAAACAGCCTTCTGGGTTTTTTATGAAGTACCTAGAGGGGAACTTAAAAAAGATGTCATCTTATATAATTTTGTGGGGGGTTTTTTGTATAGAAATTCAGTTTTTTGTCCTTTGAGATTGTTCAGTAGTTTTCTGTTCCTGTTTTTTAATGCTTGAAACTTTGTTTTTATAAAGAATAATAATGATTTCCTTATTAGTTCTCCCATTATTTTTATACATAAACCTTGTTCTGTGTTCAGATATTTACATATTCTTTGTCTGTGTTACACTTTGTTTACACTTCAGTTTTTAATATATGAGAGTGAGTAAAAATTTATTCAAACTCCAATTATATTAAAATGCCTGTCCATGTCCACAGCTGATGGCAACATTGAGCGTGCATGTGAAATGATTCTGTCAAATAGACAAGTGACAGTGGATTATGTGGCAAATCCTTCGTAAATCACAATGACTTTGCCTATGAAATAATCTGACTTGGGTTTTGAGAAGTTTGTGCAAGATGGGTATCTAAACAACTCTCAAAAGATCATAAACAAGCATTTGGACATCTGCAAATAATATTTGGACTGATACTCAAAGGTAAAAGTTTCTTTAAAAAAATCATTACTGGTGATGAGACACAGATTCATCACTGTGAACCTGAGAGTAAACGTCAGAGTATGGAATGGGAGGAAGCATCCTCAATCACTGATGAAGGAAAAGTTCAAAAGTTAACCATGAGCTGCAAAATTGATGCTGATAGCTTTCTGGGATTCTCAAGGGCCAGTATTAGGACACTATCAGGAGAAAAGTTCAGTAATCAGTGGTGTTCATTACAGTGAGATGCTCACTAAAGAGCTGAAGTCTGAACTTCGGACTAAGTGCAGAGGACTGCTGTCCAAGGGCATTGTGATCTGGCATGACAATGCACATCTGCACACCTGTCCACACTGCTGACTTTGCAAAACTTCATTTTGAGGTGTTTAGGCATCCTCCCTATAGCCCTAGTCTTGTTCCATCAGATTGTCACCTGTTTGATCCCCTGAAAGCAGCCCTTCGAGGATGAAGATTCACCTTTGATGAAGAAGTGAAGACAGTGATGCATTGATGTGATGCTGAGCTCACAGCTCAGCCTGAAACATTTTGTAATGAAAGAACATGAAAGGCTTTTCGGCTGGAGTCGCCATCTTGCAGTAATCCCCCAAGATGACGAACACAAAGGGAAAGAGGCGGAGTACCCGCTATATGTTCTCCAGGGCTTTCAGAAAGCATGGGGTCATTCCTTTGGCCACAAACATGCAAATCTACAAGAAAGGCAATATTGTGGACATCAAGGGAATGGGCACAGTTCAAAAAGGCATGTCCCACGAATGTTACCAGGCAAAACTGGAGGAGTCTACAATGTGACCCAGCATGCTGTTGGCATTGTTGTGAACAAGCAAGTCAAGGGCAAGATTCTTGCTAAGAGAATTAATGTGCGCATTGAGCATATTAAGCACTCTAAGAGCTGAGACAGCTTCCTGAAGCGAGTGAAGGAAAATGATCAGAAAAAGAAGGAAGCCAAAGAGAAAGGGACGTGGGTTCAGCTAAAGTGTCAGCCTGCTCTTCGCAGAGAGGCGCACTTTGTGAGAACCAATGGAAAGGAGCCTGAGCTGCTAGAACCGATTCCCTATGAATTCATGGCCTAACAGGAGTGAAATAAAGATGGCTGCTGAGGTGTACAAATGTGTGGAGGTGTGGTGTGTGTCTCCCCCCCCCCCCCCCCTAAATACATAGTATTTAAAGCACATTGTGTTTCCCAGTTTGCTTGATAATAAAAGCTTTTACTGTTAAAAAAACAAAACAAACAAAAAAACCCATGAAAGCTTGTTGGCAGATGGACAAAATGTATTGAAAAGCAAGAAGATTATGTAAGAAAATGATACATTAATCTTTTTAAAATTTGCTTAAATTCTACAGCCAGAGTGCAGTTAATTTCTGACTCACCCTCTTAATCTATCACATATTTGGATGTATGAGTGTAATTTTCATTAACTTACAAGTAATTATCAAGGCAATATGGTTTCAGTGATTATAATAGATGGGATTTAGATACATGAGAAGAGTATGTTATGTTTGAGGGAACAATATCAAAAAGAGAATGAATATGGGAATGTGCATGATAGATTCATGACCCAGTGAGACTATTGATTAATATGGTGAGTTCATACTATTGAGTACTAGAAAATAATTTTTTTTGAATAAGGAAAACCCTAGGTTGGAGATGAGGCTTGAATGCCAAGTATAATAATAAACTCCTAAACCTAGTAGCGTAGTGGTTATGTATTGGGCTGCAAACCTTTAGGACAGCAGTTTAGTATTACCAGCTGTTCCACAATAGAAAGATGAGGCTTTCTGCTCCCGTAAAGATTTACAGCCTCGGAAACCCTGTACAGGCTCGCTATGAGTAGGAACTGACTCCACAACACATAACAACAAGCCTAGTACCAATAAAGTATTTCAAATTATAAATGAGCACCAGCCAGTAAGACATTTTAGAAGCAAGAATGCCTAGACTTCATCTCTTGTACTTTGGACATGTGGTCAGGAGGAACTCAGTCCCTGGAGAAGGGAATCATTCTTAAAAAGAGTACAGGGTGAGCAAAGAAGAGGAAGATTCCTAACACTATGAACTGACACGGTGACAGCAACAATGGTTCAAACATAAAAACAGTTGTGAGGATGGCACAGGATCTGGCAGAATTTCACTACTTTTTTATAGTGTCTCTATGGGTTGGAACTGAGTAGAGGACACCTAACAACCAGAAAACACTTTTAATATTTTAAATGATCAAAAACAATTTGTTAGCGCTTAAGAAATCATATCAAAAGGTTTTGGAATTAAAATGTTATCATTGTCTTCCATTTTTCTGTAAATAAAAACATACATCATCTCACAAAGAATAATGTAATACCAGGTATTATAGCTAATGTGAAAGAAAGATGATGTTTTTTGCTCCTACAAAGATTTCAGAAGCCTTGGAAACCCTACACAGGGTTGCTATGGGTCGGAACTGAGTAGATGGCACCTAATAACAACAATTGCAGCAAGAAGGGATAGTGGCGACTCAGTGGTAGAATCCTCACTTTCCACACAGAAGATGTGGGTGTGACTCTCCATCAACGTCCCTCACGCATAGCTACTACCTATCAGGGGAGACTTGTATGTTGCTATGATGCTGAACATATTCGAGCAGAGCTTCCACACTGAGATGGTCTAGAAGGAAAGATCTGTTTTCTGAAAATTGGTCAGTAAAAATCCTGTGGATCACAAGAGTCTGACTATCAACCATTCATGGGGATGGCGCAAGCTCTGGCAGCATTTGATT